CAAAGAGGATTTGTCGAAATTCATATGAAGTGACGAATTGACCTTCTCTCAATTCAACAAAGCCAAAGTAGCAAAGGCGTGACGAGAACCTGAGGATTAGTGGCCTTTATCACGGGCCGAATGTTCCATTGACCGGGACAGTACCGGCTATGCGAGAATAACGTTTCCAAATAATGATGGATGGTTCCAAGAAGATAATGCCCAGCCTCACAGATCAAAGATTGCAATGTTTTTCAGGTGGAAATGTCTTTCATATTTTATCTTGGCCAACTCTAAGTCGTGATCTCAATCTACCATACTATTGAATTTAGTCGATAAGGCTGTGATAAAAAAAATGTCGTCCTTAAGAGATCTAAATAAAATATTGATTGACCTTTTGTTGTTAATGAAAATGAGTTTAGAAAAAGCGTTCGGAAACTTTAGTTATCCTCTGTAAGTTATTCTTTTTTCCTCAAATTCAATATATTTTTTTTTATTCTTTATTTCTAGTATTTCTAATTAATCTTTAAACTTGTTATTTATTTAGTATTGTTTTTATAAGATCAAATCGGATCATTAAAAAACATAGAATATAATGTTAAATTTTAGCAACTCTCTATATTTTTTATAATATATAATAGTTTAGATTTTAACTATGGAAAGAATATCAAACAATCATTTATTGATATCTTGAGGGAAATAAGATTATCTCGAAGATATCGTGAAATGTATCAAAATTTTTAGGAATCGGATAAGGAACAAATTCATGAAACCGACTTTTAATTCATTGTACATTACCAGCGCAATCAAAAATAATTTTATCTCACTTAATTAATTACGAATTGAAACGGTGATCCATATATATCGTACTATATTCACTTGGTAAATATAAATTAAGATTATTTGTAGAAAAATTATATTTAAAAATATTTCATTCAATAATTATAGTGTATTGCAAAATTGCTAGTGGATATAAAACGGAATATACCAGAAAAAACAAAACTATTAAGTAAGTTATTCAGGTGAAGTTGGAAGCATTCATGGTTTTCATGGTGAAACCTTAACGCTAAAAATGCTTGTTACTCCTTGTAAAAATTATATATATAATACACTTTGAATAATATACCTTAGTTTCAAAAAAAAAAAAAAAAATTTCGGAACGAACAATATTAAACTTATGAAGTAATTATGGTTACACAAATTTCTGTTTCTTATTAAAGACAGATGTTCCAGTCCAGTAACAATCATATAAGCATGTATACCACATATTGAGTAACTTGAATTTATATAAAAGCCCACAGAAAACCTATTTAGTTTCCGTTTGGTCTTTTAAATAACGAACAACAACCTTCATACTAGTCGCTAATAATTTAACTTAATAATATTTATTACCTGATTATTTTTTTAAATGAAAATAAACAAACTTTCAAAATTAACATTATAAATTATTAAATATTGAGATCGCATTCACAATTACCGTTGTTTATTTACGATTTATTAAAGGCTTGCATATATTTCTCTTCGCTGCGAAAGCTTCGTCACTTACAAAGCAAAGAAACGACAGTCTAACCAAATCCGACAGAAAGGAAGATCTTTCAAAATAAAATGGTTTTTTTTTTGTCGCGTATTGTGGTTTGTTTGTTGATTTGATTATCACGTTACGCGACAGAATATGCAGTAAATTTTTGGTGTCACCAAATTAATTCAAACTTTATTGTGATAGTCGCACAATGAATGTGATACACAAGAATTTAAAGTTCTATCTGTAAAGCTGCAATGTTGTGACATTCCTTATCATGAATCTCAAGATTTTAAGTTTTTTTCCGCAATTGGTTCAGGAAGATCTGCTTCGGTTTATGCTGCATATTGGAAAAGTACCCAAACAAAATTTGCAATTAAAAAATTTGCCGAAGGTTCTACGAAAGAAGTTATTTTGAACGAGGTTTGAATTACTATAGTTTTGTTAAAATATATATATATTTGTTATGTCGATTAATTATATTCTTTTTTAGATTCATTTAATGGGGTGAAAAGTTGATTTTCATCCAATATAATTAGATTCCATGGAATTACGAATTTAGAAGGTAAAAAATAATTATTGTTTAATAATTTTATTCTAGTATATTTGTTCATACCTTCTTATTTTTATTATTATTTAGATGAAATAATTATGCGCTTATTCTTGAATATGCGGATGGCGGAACATTAGAGAATATTTAAGGAACAACGCTATATCTTTTAAATGGGAACGACAATTGGAATTTGCCAACGACGTCGCGAGTGCTATTTTATGGTTACATGGAAATGGAATTATACATCGTGATCTTGTAAGTCAATTTACTCTTCCTTTATATTTGATTTTATTTATTATTATTAATTTCATTTCTGTTTTTAGCATTCTAAAAATATTTTAATCCATCAACGTTCAATAAAATTAGCAGACTTTGGATGTTAGGAACAGATACTAAAGTAGCACGTGGTGTAATACCATATATGGATCCTAAAAGTTTTGAAAATCCTTTATATGACTTTACCAAAAACTCTGATATTTATAGTTTAGGAGTATTGTTCTGGGAATTACAAGTTGTTCATCACCCTTCAAATTTGAAACGGCAAACAAAACTGTTAGTCAGCAAGCAATTCTTAATGGTGAAAGAGAAATTTCTATTTCAACCACAAATAGTGCGTTTGTTAAGCTTTATCAAAGTAAGAATAATTGTTTATTTTATTTTATCATTACAATATATAACAATCTAATCTTTAATTTACTTAGAATGTTGGGAGCATGAACCAGACTTGAGACCAGACATTGGTCAAGTAATTTCGGAACTTAATAGTATTGATTCTAAAAGTCATTGTAATACTATAGAAAATTATGAAAGTGAAATCACAGTTGAAGACGATTTTTCAGGTTGTGACGTTAATTTATATGATTAGACACATCTAAGACATTTCGTATTATTCGCATTTGAATTTCAGTTATTTCCATTTTCGTGTAACCATGAACTTTCAACGAGATTTTTTTTTTATTTTATTTTATTTTATTTTTTTAATTTAAAACTAGAGTAACTAAGTTTAAGTATATGGGGTTGATTCTTTTTTTCTTTTTTTTATTACTTATGATTTATGATTTCGTTACTTATGTATGTATCCTTTTAATCCAACTCTCAAAATAAGATTAAGAATGATTTTTAAAACATTACCGTGTTACTAAAAATTAATTTTGAATAAATGAACATTTTGTAAATTTGTTTTCTTGAATGTATTAAAAACTTAACTTCAAAAGAAGATTCTTTTTAAATATAATGTTGGCGCCTTATTGATTTAAAAATTTGCACCAGCAGATGAATTCTTTGTATATTTCTCATTTTTTAATTATTTCTGCGCATGTAATAGTTAAAATAAACACATGTTCGTGTAACAATTATTAAAAACCTGATTAATTTAATTTATTAAATTTTTTTAACTCGAACTGATAGTTTTCTAAATTTAGCTACTTTATAACTCTAATTAATCTGTTAAAATTAACTCAAGCCCGGTTAATTGATTGGTTTAATTTATTAACTCTTTTTTATTTTTTCCGACTGTTTCCGGGAGAGATATAGAAAGACGAAAATTCTGTAGATATAAGTTGGTGTAATTTATTTCAGAATTCTAGAGATTATGGGAGATGAGAAACTTGTATTTAGAAATAGACATAAAAACAAATTAGTTATAGATATTTTCTGTAAACGTGAGAGAACAAAGAAATAAATTGATGGGACTCGCATTAAATGGTGTAATCCCTCCCTCATTGATAGCATTATACATTTCATTCGCTTCTCTAATATTATTTCTGAATATGAAATTATTAATAAAGTTTAAGTGGCATCGGAAAAGAATTTATATATTATTTAATTCAAAATATTTCACGATGACTCGAATTTTGTAATTGTCCGGAGCGAATCATAGGGCAATTTATTGTGTTAGCTCCTGTAATTTCCTTCCTTCCACCTACGGTTTCCGATTTCCTTAATAGGTATAATCAAAAAATAAATGTACTTTATCAATCGATGATAAGATGTTGAGTTCGGACTTATAAAACGCGTTCTCAACTAATAATCAATGGAGTTTATTCAGCTTATAACGCGTTCACATAGTTTAATAAAAGTTTATTCCGATTCATATATATAGTCAATAAGTCTAATATAGACCCTTTCCAAAAAATCGTTTTTCATTATTTACTTCTTTTAAACCAAATCTTTACCAATATGTCTAACATTTACGAAATCAGAGTATAAAATGTTGAACGCAGAGATTTCCTCCAACTGCCTGAGGGCATCCATTTTTTAGGAGATAAAGGCGAAATTTCAATTCTGTACATCTGTAAATGCTATCGCGATTTGGCAAAGATCGCAATTGATAAGAAAACGAAAAAAAAGACTACGTTTCAGCGGCAATCTGGGTGTCAGAAAGACTCAATTCGGCTATTATCTACTTTATGTACTTTCACAAAAAAATATAGTAAATATATACAATCACCATACTTCGAAAACTTTGATAAGAATAATGTCTTTCGTACTTCCAGCATAAAATATTGAATTTTATCAGAAAACTCAGATGCATGATATAATGTTGATGGCAAGAAACTGGTTAAAGCTAATGCCATCTATGCTCACCTAGAAAGGGTCTCTATAGAGAATTTGGCAAGTTTGGCAGGGAGAAATTTTTTTATTATGTTGAGAAAGAAAGGTTGAAGAATTGTTTTTGAGATGAGGAGGAGTTCTTCGGTTCATTTTAAAACAGGCTGATGAAGAAGGTCATCAAAAGCAGCTTGATAAAACGATTAAAAAATGTAACATGGATATATTTAATTATATTGGTGAATCTACAGATACAGATGATATAAGCCACAAGCTCGTACACATTTATACAAATTTCCCATTAACTGATGAAGAGGTTATAAAGGACGAAAATGAAATGGATTTAGATACTAGTTCTCGTGATATCTTGCTGGATCGAGACGGTAAAGAACCCTATACAAAAGAAATTATAAGATTTTCCTCCGACTATGTTAAGAAAGAAGTGACTGAGAAGCTCGAAGAAAATATAAGAAACAAATTGCGTACTGAAACATATTTAAGCTTAGAGTCAGGAATTAGTAATTCGTTATTGAGCATATCATTTGAACAGATTGCTCATTGGGTGCTGCGAGATGGAGGAAGTTTCAAGACTCGTTCTTTAGGATTCAATGGTGTAGAGGAAAATTTCACTATTCACAGGCAGAGTGAGACACTTGACTTTTTAAAAGTAATATCAGTGTAATCGAAGATGGAAAATACTATCAACCAGGGATAAAAATTTTCTTTCAATCGATGCCATTATTGCCCCAAATAAACTTTTTCAGATGACAATCGTCAATAACCACCCTATTAAAATGATTGGTTTAAGGGGTGAATCTGCATCAGATGATTTCAAATTTTATTTTGTCATACTAGGACACTTGTACGATAATTACAAAAAGCAAGATTTTCATACATCTGATGATACTCTCGCCCAGAATACACCACTTTGGATCCGATTTCGTGTTAATCAATATGCTTTAAAAATCGATTTGTAGCACTATCGACAAGTTTTAATAATGGTACACCTCTTTCTATGAGAATACAGAGAAATAAAATATGATTTGTGAAATATGTTGAGTAAGCGTATTAAAACAATTAATTAATTGTTTATGCGGTTTTTTTGCCCACGGAGCTTTATTTTTTTAACATGTGTATGCTATAGTTACTACATGCAGTGTGGAATGTGAATTATATATCAGATTAATAATAAAGAATTTTCCTCTATAAATACATATTCAAATAACTAATGGATCGTAAAAAGAACAAAAATAAAAATTGTGCACAATCGATGTTATCTAGTGCACGCATGCTCTAACTCGTGTGCGCAGCGAATAGAACGTAGCATATTACAGACCAAAAAATATTCCCTTTGAAGAGATCGGCGTTACGACTCGGAAAGTTACCTCTCATTGTGGTTTGCGTTATGCGATTCCAAGATCATGCGGTGATTTCGATTTTGGATCGGGTGTTGGATATAAGGTGCTAGTTATTATTCGTGTCCCTGATCAAAGAACTTCAGGATTATGAATTCCGATTTTTGGACCGTAGACATTGAAGTAAATAAAGTTAATAATTACTCGATGACTGCTTTGAACTTGCCTTTCGACAAATTACACTTTTATCATCACAGATTTTTTGACGATAAAGTGGAAAAAACAATTCCTGAGTTGATCCATCAAAATTATCTGTATTACAGTCGTAGTATGGCTTTTTTTCTCGCAAGTACAGGTCTGTAAGCCTCTAGAGAAATTCGTTGGTCCAGATTTGTGATATATAAAAGGAGGTAAGTTTTTACCAGTTGATTTTTTTATCCGCTTTTCTTAAATCAAACGAATGATAACTAAAATCATCTATCTAATCGAACGAGAATAAATCTGCAAACAAAAAATATAAGGTATGTTGAGGATACCTGGTTGTACCACTTCGATTTTCTATCACATTGAAAGTTGTCCTCCGTTTCATCGACAAGTTGCTTTTCTTGATATTAGTCGAGATATTAATTCACCTGATTTTCGCAATAATGTGTCTTGATGTTATAATCAAGAAATTCGATAATTGCAATTACTTACTTATTGTCCATGGACTCTAAAAATATTCTCGAGACGGAATGAACATGAAGTGTAAAGGTAAAAGTGCATTTTGATTTTTGTTTATGTCATCCAATTCTACGATAATTTTTCCGAAAGTTTGCAATTTGTTTGGCATTACCAACTCAACCAAAACTTTTATGTCAATATTTGACCCTTAAGGAACTACGGAGGGAATTAGGACTATAGTTCGAGAAATGTAGCAAAATAATTTGTGGAGAGATTTATGCAGAAAGTTATGCAATACGAAACTTCCTATCAACGAACACAAGAAAAAGGAAAGCGTCCGTAGCATCTTTTTTATATTTATTCATAAAAAATATAAGGATCAGATGTTTTTAAAATATACTAAAAAACGTTTAAAATTATAGCTTATGTAATTGAGTGATATTTAACTACATTATTTAATTTTAACTTATGCAAAAAATTTTAATATTAAGTAACTTTACATTTATTTACGCAAATTATTAAAATATCCTTTTATTAACAAATATAGTTACAATTTCCTTAAAATCTTTATTTTTATATAAAAAATTATTTTATCTCGAATTTTATACCTTCTAATATTAAAGTAGATAATAAGCCATGAGTTTAATGAAATCTCTTAAAAGTCACAAATGATCTTGATGTTAACAGATAAATTTCTTGATTATAAATTGTATGTGCAAAGAGAGATAAAATATTACCAATCGCAATGCTACCAAAAAAAAACCTCCAAATTCTATTCTAAAATTATAAATTGCACGTTTACTGACAATTTATTTCTTGATTAAAGAAAAGAATCTTTTAGTTTTAGTGTCATCTGGTGTATCTAGTTCTCTTTCTCTTTCGCA